AAGCTTCGGAGAAAGAGATGCCTTCAAAACAACGTAAGTTGTGGCCCCTTCTTGTGACTTACGAAGCAATTTTCATTGTGCAAAAGTCTATCCAGGCGGCAGTTTACATCTCGTTAAGAAATTTAAGAATTCGTGAAACTTACAGAGAAAATGCCCAGTTTTATTTCAAGATCTTGGCATTTTTCAACTTTGTTCAATGGGTAGACTGCCTAGTGAATGTGGAAAGTGACTTGGTTTTGATCAGAGCAAGGATTACGTACGGCGAGTGGTTCGTCGTGTTGGAATTAATGTACAAAGCGCTCACCATCGACTATCGTCTCCTGTGTTCTTTCATATTCCTTGAGCATTCGATGCAAATTCAAAACGAAACAGGTGGTGCTGAGACAGCTAACGCCGGCAGAGAAAATGAAACAGCCTTCAGAATCTACAATATGACCTATTCAGATCGCCAGTACAGAAACCTTGGGTATCTACTGGGATTTTTCTGCTTTCTCGCTCCATTCAGCTGCGCTGTTTATTACGTGCACAACCTTGAGTTGCCTGTCTACATACGTGTTGCAACGAATTTCTTAAATGCCCTCTGTATTTTTGTATGTGGGATGATTCTTTTGCTAAAGAACAAGCTTGATTTCGAAAGGAAGGACAAGGAGTCAATGAGCGTTAAAATCATGGTGAGTACTACACTGATAATGTGAATTAGGATAATCCGTTGATAGAATAGTGAGAAGGAAAAGATTTTGGTCACGGAAAAAACACAGTACCACCATTTTGCCACCGGTTTAAGAATTCTAAGGAATTGGAACTTCACTGAAGCCTGGATAATACAAATCATTCATGCAGGCGTTGGAGGGCATTTAGACTGAGTCTTGTAAGACCTTAAAGTCAAAACCAAAGTAATCACAACATCCAATCAGAATGAACGAAAACATCTCGACGAGCCAATGAGAGAAGAAATAGGGCATATCGCTTGAAGCTCGAGTGACCAAGCAGGGATTGGTGTTCGTTTCGAATCTGATTGGTTGAGAAGGTGGCCCTAGTTTCTTCGACCAATCACGATAAAGCAATCCAGATCACTTTCGACATTCGATTAATTTTTTCTCTGTTTCTTCGTTAATCTCTCGCGATTTCACAGGTCCGAGAAAAAATCTTTCAAAGGAGAGATGACACCAATGTAAGTTAATGATTAATGAATCGCTAAGATTACCGCTCATATTTAATGGCGATAAAATAGGGAGGGAGATTGAGGAGAATTATAAATGCATTTTAACATTGTGCTAAAGTGTATTGGTGCATTTCAATGATGCATTTGAGGAGTAGATTCTAGTGTTAGTAAACGGTGTATGAGAGGATGTACGTAATTACTTTTTTTTTCACTCATCATTTCTTGCACTGGTCTTCTTGTCTGTTTACCAGGCTTGCTGTCTGGGTTCTGTTGGTTTTGCGAGTTTGATGATCAATGCTGCTCTCGCTCAGTTCTGGGCGAGCAGCCAACATTATTTACGCAGCTACCATTGGGCATGCGCAGAACTGTCGGTTCGCGGCCTCACGGCTACTTTCTTGATGGTCATGTTTCTTCACGTGAATGCTCGCGCCTTACCTTTAAACAATCCAGATGTGAAGATCAACCACTTTCTCGTGCCTGCTCTGATGCTTGGAGTCATGGCTAATTGTGCAGCGTGTTTGGTTGATCAATATTTTGGTCCTCTTGATAAAAGAATAAGGTATGTCATTTCTTATGTCAAACCTATGTGATCGGGTTTATGTGTTAATTCATGCATTATTTTCGATAAAACTTCTCTGCTGGAAAAAACAAATTGTGTCGTTCCAGACTTGTTCTTCAGTTTTTAGTGTCATGGTTTGCAATCTCATGATACTCAATAGAGAAGTGCCCTTGTGATTGATGAAACGAACTCAACCTTAAATTATTTTATCTGATTATTTGCAGATGTGAGATTACAGGAACGAGTTTGAGGTTGCTGCACGACGCAGGAGAACCTATGTACCTTGGATTCCTAATCCACGTGTTTCTTCATTTCCTCATTATGCAGACACGGATGGGTCGATCCAAGAGGTCCCTCCCAGGAAACGAGGATGCACCATTGTTGCATCCGAATGGAACAGATATCGATGGATCGTGAATTTAAGATCTTCTTAACCTACTGGGCGGACCAAATGCTGTAACTCTTAATTTAAATTTCCGCTCGTGATCACCCAGCAAATAAATCTTTGTGGTCAACTTCGTTTAGTAGCGATTACAATGCGAAAAAACTCCCATTCACTGAATTTCCAACATAAAGAAGGAACACTGTCGCGTAAGTATGGGCTTCAACTAAGGTAGATTGGATTTAAAATAAGAGCGAGGAGCCGTGAAAATTGCAAAACGAGAAGTAACCACAACCTCCGCGTTCACGTGGTGCCATTTTCGTGCGCCCATTTTCTCGTCTGTCTTCATCAACGGGGAGCCTGGCACAAGCTGTCATACGCAGCCAACTTGAAGCACTTTGATTGGTCAAGAGGGTGGCTGCACAAGTTTCCTAAACCAATCACAGAGCGATTTATCTCGATACTCAAGTGAAAGTCCCTCGAGTAAGAGTTACACCAATACTTCCAAACAAATAGTACCAGAGATTTTATTCTTCTTCGAAACGAAGGCATTTCTGTACATTAAGACCAATCAAATTTCGCCGAACTGGCTCGACTTCAATTTAGATCTGTTAATCCAGCAATTAAATCAAAAGAGAGTTCCATTTATCCATCTGATCCGGACAGCACAGGAAATCGAGGTACATAAGAAGTAGTTACATTAAATTTTGAGGTATTTAGCTACTGTCAATGAAATATGATCAATTCTAACGAAGGAAGATAACCATATAAAATTCTCTGCTTGTGGACTTTGGCCTAGAGTTACTTTCCGGTACCATAGTTCGCTCCACCAGCCTTGACGAGAACTGATTTTACATGATCGAAATCGAGTTCCTCTGGATCGTTTGCCAAGATTTCCACGGCAAAGGCCTGCAACAAAAGCAAAAGATGGGAATCAGAATATTTTTGTTGTGTCACAATAAAATTTACGTGATTCCCCCATAAGGCTCTTTAATATTCTTATGATCAACCCCACCCACCCCACCCCCCTCCCTCACTGGCAGTCAATTTTTTTTTTATATTCCCTCCTTTATACTCTTCGGTGACGACTGTTCCCCCTTCGTTCCTCCTGAAAGTACTGATCCCCCAAATATACTCAGCCCCTCTCCCCCAAGGCGATAGAAAATAGGTGATCCCTTGAAGAAATGAGACTTTTTCTTGCTTAAATCTCACCTGAACAACCTGTTTAACTGAAGCCTTATCAGTACTGACTTTGGCCTTTTGTAGTGCTCCAACGCCCTCACCGATCCATGTTATGAAAGCAAATTTGGCTCGTTTGCTGAGTTCGTCGCCAGTCTCGATGCGGACAAACCCATAGACGCGTTCACCCTCTGTTAAGACAAATTATATGTTTTCAGATGAAGCAAAGTTGTCATCTATGAGGAGTAGGGGGGAAGTTAATCTCGTACCCAGATCCTACCGTGTAACTGTAACCGCTTAGCCGGGAAAGGTTCGGGTACGAGACAAGGGAGAAGTCTTAAGGTGCAGGGGACCTCAATGTTTGTCTGCGAAAAAGAAAGATGATATATCATAACAAAGGAAAAAAAAAAAAAAGGAACTGGCATGTCTCCGAGTGCTAGTAAGGCACTTGTGTATGATGTACCGCAAGATATACGCTCTGCGTCGGTGAAGGAAGAAAAACGAAAAAGGTTTAAGCCACGAGAGAGTCAGTCTTCGTTGCCGGCAGTTTCGTGTGCGCTTTGAGGCTTTAAGCGGCGAAGACGAGAGGGGTGTGAAACGGAAAAAGCGTGAGCTCAAAAAATTGCCTACTACGCCGGATGCGAGTGAGCCATGAAGCCATGACAAATGCCCTTCCCCTGTACCTCACAATTTCGTGCCGAAAATAAGTGGTTACGACGAACTTATTCTCGTCGTTCGCCACTACGCGACCTCGCGTGCAAACGAGTCTCTCGCTCGCACCCTGTGAGTTCGTTTCTCTATTAGTCTCCCCAAATCCTAAAAATCTCAAGATCTGTATATTAATTCTCCTTCTCTGTTATGCCTTTTTAAGTGCCAAATAAGACAACATCCCCCCGTTGAAAGCTGGAACCACTGTAAGAATATATAACTCACCGGTAAAGTGTGAACGGAATTCTTGGTAGTCAGTTCCTGATGCGGCGTGTACGATAGTCTTGTCACTATATTTGTAAACAGCCCTGAAATCGTAAATAAAACAACGGAATTTACACCCGCAAAAACCCCGCATCCTCCTTATTTTTGTTAATAATTAGACAAGACAATAACTAAATGATGGAAAATAATAACAGTTCCTTCGTATTAGAATATTTTGTCGGCGAGATAATGGGGACGAGATGGAAACCTTCCCCCCTTTTTTCAGTTCGTACCATGTCACAACCTCTTTTGTTTAGGAGGAAATCCTTCCACGACAGAGAGCAAGTGAGGAAAGGCGGACTCGATCTACTATGAGCCTATCTTTTCCCGTTAGATCAATTCTCCAGATGGCTGTTTGGCACAGAGTTCATTGCAAAAGACTTGCAACGTTTCTAGTCGTTTGGGGTCAAGAGATGTTTTTTCACCGTATATTTTGCATTGATAGTACTGACTCTTCCCAGTAACAGCAGTAGCTGGTAACATAGTGACGGAACTTGAAAAATGGTCAGGTTGTCGACGGGATTTGTTCACTTGATGATTTCATATTGAAACAAGTGAACAGAAGTAACAAGTAAGTAACAAAATATTGACTAGTCCCGCGTCGTGGGACGCCACCAGAGGGTCTATAAAAATGTAACCCATTGAGTTGATACGGTATAGAAATTTAACATCCGAAAGGAGCTATTTTGAATAATATAACACCACTCTAGAGAAATCTACCTTAGCCTGTGTGTAGTCTTACCCTTCCCCCACAAGGAGAGGGTACGACTGCACGTAGACTAAATCTGCCCGTTACGTTCTATGGCTACCTCGTTGACGTTCTTTGAGAGGCCGCACAACGCTACCTTGATGGGAGGGGTAGAAGCGTAAAAACAGTGACTAGACGGTTTTTTTTTTCGACGGAGAGAGTGCGAAGTACCGTTAGACTCTCTTGCGCTCCCGCTGATTAAAAATGACGCCTGGTCGCTCGTTACGCTTCCCGGCCCTCAAATCAAGCGTTGCGTGACATATGGTCGCGAAGGAGTTTAGTAATCCTAATGACGCCACATTTATTTAGAATCATGAGACGACGGGATCTGTCTTTATTCCTCTCGAACATGTGTTTACGTAACCTCTCGCTCTCTTCACGTTGCGTAATTTTTTCATTTTTGTGATTATTATTCGATTTTTATCATTTTCCACCGAAGTTTCGAGGATGCATTATGTTCATATATTTCATACGTTAATGGATTTGTTCTACTATGTGACGGACGATCCGGCTTGATCGAAGTGTTCGAGGAAAATGTCCCACAAATTCTTAAATTTGTCACTATCGATCTTGAAATTCACTCTAGTAACGGTCAAATGAACAAAGTTCATCTTCCTTTTGCTTTCTTTGTTGCTTCAAATGCATTTCCTGGAATGTTTTTTCTCCATTACATTTATTTCTGTGTATAAAATTGGAGGGCGTCTGACTGTGTTTCCTTGACACTCCTCTGTATAAAGGGGGCGTCCCCTGGATTTTTCTTTACCAATCCAGCCACGCGCTACACGAGGCGATTAGGGAAGCCGGTTTTAGCTCGTGTTGAACGAGTTTAATTAAAATTCAACTTTCGTTGCAACTTTCTTCAAGAGTCGGCAACCGCATCTTGCCGTTAAAAATCGACTCGGGTAATATAACCTTTAAGTTTACGTTCTCGAAATTTTTAGCAATCCCGGATAACGCCTAGCTTCAAAATCTCCTTAAATAGCCTGATAGAGATACTCCCTCCCAGGAAGTGTGAAAGACAAACACGGCTGCCTCTAAATAAATAATTTTGAAGTTTATAATGCACTTTGGAAGTTAAATATTTCTACAAAAAAATTTCGAGCGTGCTTCAACAATTTGCTCACAAAAGCGATATTAATCCACTGATCATAAGATATTCATCTGTCAACTCTACAGCGAATATCGATGAGTTATTTCCGTAATCACGAAGTCGATGTGTTAATCTTTTAAGCGGAAATTTCGACATAAGTAATGTAAGACCTGCCCAGACAAAGTTGCTCTCAGATGTCACTCTCACTATTCCCTTTTTGAAAAATATCGCCCATTCAAACATTAGAAGTAAAATGGCAAAGTGCGAGAGGAAATAATCGTTTTTTTCTTATCACTTTGAAGCACCTAGCCGCATTGCCGATCTGTCTAATAATGAATAGAATAAACTACCGTAGCCTTGCAACAAGATATTTGTTTTACCGGCTGGTTTGGTTTCTAGAAACAAAACGTTTGAATTCATTTCAACTCACCAGTTTGTTTCAGATTTGTCGTCCCGAACATCGAGGTAAGACTTAGAGATCGCATCTTTATCGATGGCCGCCATGGTGCGTATCAAAGTGATAATAGGGAAAAATTACGGTACCACGAAGATTCACGTGCGATTACTGACTGATGCGAACCGAACCAACACCTCCGATTAAGTATCACAATGCAGTGACGTCACTTGATAATATGTTAATTGTTGGTCCTACAATCCAAAATTAAAACGCATGAAATTATCAAACAATTCGGGACCGGTTCCTGATAAAGCCACAAATATTCAGCAACTTGATAACAGTGAACTTAGCATAAAAATTAGCCAAAGAAAACTCCAATTCATCTGAAAGAATTTTAGGACGTGGCTAAAATTTCAATCTTATGTTGCGTGACGCAAATAACACGATGATTTTTAAATATTTATTTTCCAGTGGCATGCGTGACAGAGGCTTTCTAATTGCTTTTAATTTGCGATTCATTACCTTTAAAATATTTCATGATAATGACTGAAATTTTCTGGAAACTAGAATTTTACATATTTGGACAAGCTTTGATTTTCTTGGGCTGTTAAACAGTCACTTCCACCTCCCAGGAAAAATCGATATTTCCTGCGGTCAGTGAGTGGATGTGTACCGCCTTCATTTTGCGTAAACGTGGAACACATTTCCGACAATCTTCACGACGTAAAAATTTCAACATTCTAACGATTTTGACAAGTTTCTATTAGTCAATATATATAGAAAGGGTGCTTCCAGGAGCTTCCAATCCGCACAGCTCCGAAAAAGTCATTCGCAGCTTTTCCAAGTTGGGTTTTTTAATCTAGTCATGAATGTCATCCCCATTTTATCCCCGTTGTATATTGGGAGTCTGTTGCTGAAGTCAACGAGAACACGCGATCACGATTAGGAATTAATGATATTTTTCTGTCACCTAATGACCACGTCCAAAATATTTGTTTTCAAGCCTCTTCACAAACATCCGGATATTTTGAAGGTTATTTGAGAGTTTTCTATTAAAAATTAGAGAGTGCTAAGTTGTCTAGAAAATTAATGAATATTTAGAGACGTGTCTACCATTTTTAGCTAATTTCCTGCTCAGCGCTGTCTTCTAAGATAGATTCTTCCTGAGTTACTCATTTCTTTGCCAGAATTATCGCGAAGATGCCAGCCGATAAACCATCAGAAGTAACTACTCTATGTTGTTATGACAGTTCTTTTTACGTCTTAATTCATAGACGATCTGTTACATACTGTTCCAACTCCTTGAAGAAAAAAAAAGGGTCCTGTTTATTTATCTATTTGTTATTTAAATTTTTATCAGAAACAAGAGATATTCTCGAGATATCAATAATTTTTATACAATTTGTAGAAATGTGCTTGAGGATTTCGACAAAAAAATTCTACGAGTACTCGACTTTAGCAGTTTTGTGGGATATTGATTCGAGGCTCTTTTGTTGTCCGTCAACCACTTCTTTATGTCCAGTGCGGACTTACGATTAACCGATTAGCCGGCTTCACACTGGTCAGCAGAAACATCGAATAACATTCCCGTATGTGTCCTTTTGGCGGGAATCATAATCTTGAAAGGAACAAAGAACAACAGAGCGAAAGCGAGTTTCTTAGTCAATCATCAACTTATTATACATTTTTAGCTGTGAGGCTGCCAGGAGACGCGAAATTAAAAGGAAGACGGATTCATGCACAATCCATCAGGTAATGATTATATTTCGGAGAGTATTTTTATTCGTTACGTGGAGTGATTCATGTCTGAACGCATCTTTGGTTGATAGCGAATAGGTTCAGTTTCAATAGCGCGTCTTGTTTACAGCAGTCTTGCATAATTTTCGATTGCGAACGGGTGGTGAACAGAAAGTCTCATGATGTTTTGCCAGACATTTGTCAAATGGCAAAACCGTTCTGTAAGCTTATTTATTTAGTTCCGCGCTGTCGAGTGTACGCTTACGCTTCTGTACTAACGATTGCTGTTGAACTTTAAACCCTAACCCTAAGCAATTTAATCTTCCAAGATTCAGTATTTCGATTCAAAGATACAGCTCTGTTATGCCCTCGCTTCATTAATTGAAGAAGTGGCTCACGTTTAATGTCTTCCAAACTTATAGTGAAAAAGAAACTTATACTATGCTTTTTGTTAGTTCACAGCTGTTATCTGCGATGAACAGTTTTAGATGTGCTCGCAATTTATCCAATTGATTATTTTCTTTCAGCGCTATAACATGGCCGCTCAGAGGAATCAATTTTCCAAATGTTTAATAGGAATCCCAACTTCTCCGAGTACACCCAGCAACACGATTTTGACAGAATCAGGACCTTTGCACATCACGCCTCAGGACGCGATTGACTCAGAGCTAGAACCAAATACTCCGTTCAAAGTAAGCTTATGTGTGTTTACGCGGTATATTGACCTATAAGTGCTAAGATGATAATTTTTTAACATGCTCAATTGGCGATCATGGCCTTAAAACTATTCCCAAAGTCATTTTGGTTATTTTGTAATCTACCTTTTAGGAAGATTCCCTTAATAAAATTAAATTATTAGATAATTTCGTGTTCATTTAAGAAGCCTAAATTTCGAAGGCAATGATCAGTGTTTTGCATTTTGTCACGGAAGTAGAAAAAAAGCCCCAAACAATGAAATTTTTGAAACGTTTATATGCAACAGCTGGTTCCATGTAAAGCTTTCTTTTGTTTATTTTTCAAAATAAATTACTCATTGTTTTACATGAAAAATCATGTTCCAAATCTTTGGGGGTAAACATTTCTTTATTTAAACAAACAATATATTTTAAATTTACTTTCATTTCCTAGGAAACAAGGGAAAATTGAGTATAGTATAAGTATATAAAGTATAGAAAAACAAGGTTTATCACACTATTGATAAAAAAAATTGTGACTTTGGAAATTTACAATGATGACTTGTTTTATTTTTCTTAAATAAATTGTTTCTATGAATTTTCTCTTGGTACAAGGATTGTTCTGTTTTCTTGTGGCAAGCAATAAGCTCTCTCTGTTGGAAAACACTGATGTGTGGCACCTTTTCTCTCCAGGTCTTTGGTATATTCTATGCAGTCTTATTGATTGTATTATTTGACTTGTAGTAAAATGAATTATTTGTTGTATTTCTATTCCCAGGATCCCATAAACTCCTACAAAAAGAAATCAGGAAAACTTGTTTCAAAACGAAAACTTTTTATGCAAAGTGGCCAAAATTCTCCTGTGAACAAAGGTACATTATGCTAGTTAATTGATTTTCTAATACTGCCAGTGTAACTAATTAATGGAGTGCCATTTTTTCACCAAACAATTTTTTTGTGAAAAAAAAATTGCAAAAAAACTAAGTTATTGTATTTCCTCAAATAAGCTCTTGGGCACTAAAAAGGAGGGGGGGTGCTTTTTAAGTTAGGATAAAAATAAAAGAGAACTGATGATATATGTAAAGGACCTCTGCAAGCATATGGAGATAGACAAAACAAGAAGGGAAAAAAAGCTATTCTCTTGTACTGATTTGAAATGAGTTAAAAAAGGCAATAAAACTCTTTGACATTCTCATTTTAGAAGACTCATATATTGACACTTGACAAATCAGTCAAAAGGTCAAGCTTTTCTGAAATGTTTTAACTAATTGTAGTGTGTTTTTTAGCTGCCAACATGTTATATCCTTAGTTAGTCCTTAGGTAAATTTGTACTTCTAATTCTGATATGATATTGTAAATTTATATATTCTGTAACAGTGAATTTGTCCTATAGACAAAATTATTAGATCATAAGTAATTTATGAACACTTATATAACGGTTTTACGTCTAACATGCAACTCACCTAGAATAGCACTCAAGCTAACTGTGGATGCACAAAAAATTGTAAATACTGAGTAATAAAATGTATGTATGTATAAGAAAATGAGGGAGGAAGGGGGTGCTTATTCAAGGGCAGGCACTTGTTTGCCATTATGGCCTGGGGGTGGGTGCTTCTTTGAGGGTGCTTATTATTGAAGTTTGGAAAGCATTTGACTCAGCTTTTTTGAACTATTTTTGTTAACAGCAAGAAGACAGGCTACAACAAAGACTCCAAAGACTTCTCCTATAATCTCACTTCCTACAGACAGCTCTAGACCTAATTTTCCATTGACAGAACGTCAACAGTTGCAATATCTCCTCGAAGTAACAGCCAGAGAAGCAAAACAAGATTTTGAAACTGGTAGCAACAGCAGTGATGAGCTGTCAATTCTTTACAACAGGACAAATGCCAAGAAAGATGTGAGCAAGGAAAATCAAATTGAGACACGGATACGAAAGAGGAATGCGCGTGGAGAAACAGCATTGCATGTTGCAGCAATAAGAGGAGACTTGGAGGATGTTGTTGCCTTGATAAAAGCTGGAGCATTGGTAAATGCCAAGGATAATGCTGGTGAGATTTTAACAGCTGAGCTGGTGAATTAAGTTCAAAAGCTTCACGCTCAGTTGTCAAATGGAAAAAGTTTTGCCAAAATAGATAGTATTGTTATTCCACAAAAAAGTGCAAATTTCCAACTTTTCTTGTTCTATTCACTAAACTAAGACTTTGGACATTAAACAGAATAAACAGAATAAGACAGATTGTGAGTTTCAGCTTACCTGTTCTATCTACATAGAGAAAAACTTGTTTGGCAACTTGGAAATTGGCTATTTGATTTCCATATCTGACCAGGCAGACTGCTACAGGAATGAGGGGACTGTGGTCTTATTATGGTTTGGTACATGCACAAAGTTAAGCATTAATACTATTGTTTTTTAAGGGTGGACACCCCTCCATGAAGCTTGTAACTGTGGTAACCTAAGTATTGTCCAGGAATTAGTCCAGAGCGGTGCAGAAGTGAACAGTCCAGGTTATACAGCTATTACACCATTGCACGATGCTGTAATTAACGACCATGTGGAGGTTTGTACTCTGAGAAATAAATAATAATACATGGACGCAGGTAGATATGGAATTTCTCTTTGAGTGTTTGCTTCCATATCTTACTTGTGAATTATGGGGGCAAACACTTGAAGAGAAATTCCATATCTACAAACAACCATGTATTATTTTGTTTATCATATAAACACTATAAGCCCTTACTGACTTTAAAAGTCAACTTTATTAATGAATGAAAAAAAG